GAAAACAAAGATCGCTTAAAGTTATAGAGGAGTGAGAAGAAAGGTGTAGTTGGCACTATTGGTTCAAGCGTTACGAATAAGAACAATGTTTGAATAAATAGGTAATCACCTTGGAACCTTTCGAGATCAGGATATGCTTTGGTATGTTTTTAAGAAAAGTTTGACATACACATGTTTGAATGAATTAAACAATGGTTGCTACAATTTGGAGTCCAATGGCATATGTAAATTTTACCTTAATCAGTACTTGCCTACTAGGCAAAATAACAGTATCTTAAAAAAAGGGATGTATAATATAACGGAACAGAACAAAAGTGTAGTAATTTGAAAAAACATATAAAAGCCAAGAAAGAAAAAAAAATCTTACATAGGTGTCACATTCTCTACATAATCTATAAAGGTGTGAACTTTAGGAAGTGTCTTAAGTGCTTCAAGTCCTCGTATCTTGACTCTTCGGATAGTGTTTTTCTCAAGATTGTAGTAGAAAACGTAAAACGGGTCGAAAATAAAATACGGGGACATCACAATTTCACTTGTTCCAACCAGTCCAACAAAATATAGAACCGGGTCATCAAGTTTGAAATACGAAGAAGGGGATTTGTAGATATGCTTCAACCATTTATGTTTCTCAACATCCTCCAAAATCCACAAGAAAACATTCTTAGTGTTTCTACCGACTCCGAAAGAACTCTCATCATATTGATCATCATGAAGTAAACCTAGTTTACCCTTGTAGTTTATCAGAATCGAATCACGCTTTATTACCATGCCTTGATCAACGTTAATATAACTGAGTTTCTCAGACCTAACATCGAAGCAAACTATCATAGAAACCACAGAAAAATAGATTTCCCTAGCAGCATAATACAAAACACCGTTGATGCATATCCCATCATACAAAGGATGATGAGGTATACAACATTCAACTTTTCTCCATAGATGTTCTCCGAATGTAAGAACACGAAGCTCCGGTAACATATCGTATACTCCACAAAGAGACCAAGCCATAGACAATATCTTGAACTGTTTTACGATCGGATCATACCCAAAATAGTTTCTTGACTGACTCCTATCTTTTCTCACTTCTGGTAAGGTTACAGACACGGACTCTCTCGTGGTGAGATTATGAATCGCGGACCTTTTCAGATTTTGACGACAGATCAATCCATTAACATGCCCACAAATTTGAGAGGAAACATCTGCTGGGATATAGGCTACATCAACAACAAGAAGAGACGAGTTCTTGTCTGGATCTTGAGTCTGAGGTGAAGAGAAGAAGATTAACTTTCCATCTTCTTCAAAAGTGAACAAGAACCGTGGACGAGCCAATGAAATGGTCAAGAACAACTCGGTGAAATCCGGACTGCGAGTATAGATACCCATATTTTCGACACGCAACGAAACCTAGCTATAGCCGATGTCGGGATTCTCGAGAATATATCGACAAGGAGATCAACAGGGATTGGGTCCGAGACGTGCTTCTTAAGTTGTTTCATGGCGGATCGGCTACGTTTAAACCCTAGATTTTTGGGTTATAGACGAAGGAAAACGAGTTTAGGTCTCTTTACTCTTACTTCGATTTTAACTTATTCATGTACTTGAAAACCCTAGAGTTAGTGAGTGGGCCATAAGAAAGCCCATCTTACGTCTATAATTACTTTAATTACTTTGGTCACAACTCACAATCTCTTTGTGTTTAATTAAGATATACAGTATAGGCTTGTGTTTAGGACTTGGTTAAAGTCAATAACCTGCTTTAGATGATACAACGTGACATAATTTAAAATTTTTGACAACAAAACATTTATTTTCTCTACTTCAAAAATACATCAGTGTTAAACGCGAGGTTTGATCATATATACTTTCTTTTAGATCAAAGCTTTTTTTTTTCCAGGATCACATGGAAGAATTGATGAGTACTCATAGTTACACAACCATAAGGAATTTTTCTTTTTTTTTAACCTCTAAAATTATAAGCCCTAACAAATAGCCTGGGCACGGAGCAGATATCTGGAAAAAATCTGGTATCTGCAATCCGCTCCGTCCGAAATGGATATTAGATTTTTCTGATGTTTTTAAAACCGGACCGGCGACGGAAACGGAGAAACTTTTGGATCATGGATCAATGTGGTCCGACCGGATCGAACCGGGTTTAATAGTTTTTTTAAAAAATATAGGTTTTATATAACTATAATATCCAAATATATAATATAGCCTTTGAATAAACATATTTCTAAAAATTAATCATGAGGAAAATCATTTTAATAACAAAAAACTATTCAAAGACAAAGTTATGAGAAATAGTATATGTAAAAAAAAATTTAAAAACATTAAACCATAACAAAAATTAACTAAATTCAAAACTAGTATTTGTTTCTATAAATTATAATTATAAAAAAAATTAAATATGAAAAAATGGAAATTTACCAAAAAAAAAGAAAAAACTCATACCTAGGTCAACCCAACCCGGCTAGCTAGCCGGTTCACGGTTGAACCCGGTCCAACCCCGGTCCGGTCCAGTTTTCAAAACACTGGATTTTTCGATCCGATCCGCACCGGTATTTTTTGGATATACGAAAATTCGGATATCCAAAATTTTTGTAATTATCCGCGATTATCCGATCCGATCCGTTAAAAAAATACTCTAAAACCTCAAAACTCAAAACAATTAGATACATACCGTAAGTTTATATTATCTTCAAGATAAGTTTTAGTAAAACTAAAACCTGATCAATATCACTGGTTTCATAATCATGCCTTTCAAAATAAGACGTTAAGATAAAAACTATACATCAAAACATAAGGCAAAGACAAAACCATTCAGTAACATCTAGTGTATAGTCAGATCATTTCCAAGTAGTTCCTTCATATCCAAAAACTTTCACCAATCTTTGATTGTCCCTACATCTTTCATCAGCAATCTGCACACACAAAACCTATTCAAATCAAAAGCAAAACAGAAAACAACATGAGAACAAATTATTAAGTAATGTTTTTAAAACCGGAATGGCGACCAAACTGGAGAAACTTTTGGGTTATGGGTCAATGTGGTCCGACTGGGTCGAACCGAGTTTAATAGTTTTTAAAAAAAATAGTAATATAAATAGTTTTTGTATAACTATAATATCAAAATATATAATATAGCCTTTGAATAAACATATTTCTAAATATTAATCATGAGGAAAATTATTTTAATAACAAAAACTATTCAAAGACAAAGTTTAATGAGAAATAGTATATGTAAAAAAAAATTAAAAATATTAAACCATAACAAAAATTAACTAAATTCAAAACTAGGATTTGTTTC